CTTTCCCGGCTGATTCTGCCAAGCCCGTTCCCTTGGCTGTGGTTTTGCTGGATGGGGGTTAGGGACAGTGGGAATCTCGTTCATCCATTCATGCGCGTCACTAATTAGATGACGAGGCATTTGGCTACTGAGCCAGGTCAAGACCCGCTTTCCGTATTATAGTGTACGTCACGTGGCCATCGGAATGCTACGCATGTTTTATAGTAATCATCATGAGACCCCACCGACCCGTGCAATTCCAGGTCCACCGCAGCCCGGGAGATGCAACCCTTACTCGTCTGGCTTACGCAGAAAGTCCCACAGCACATCAACTGAGTACAACAGGGCTCTCCGGCTCACCAGGCGAGCAAACGCTCTTCTCCAGTCAACAGATATTCCCAACTCTGTCAACACTGCGTTGTTGCATGCCGGCCACTTTCCCCTTGCCCCGATTGGGAAACCCGTGACCTTCACACAACGCCCTCCGACCTTCTGTGCAATGTGGGCTGGTTGGTAGTGAGCCACTTTCTCCGATGCAGCTCGAGTCAGAGTGTCGCCATCCAACTCATAACGAATAGTCACATCGAGAACAAGAACCGTATCGCCCTTCTTGCAGACTAGGTCAGGGATTCTGAGGCCGCCCTCAGCGTCTTCCACTCGGAACTCCCTAGCTGCCGTCCGGCCGAACCGCTCTGCCTCTATGGCTAGAAGATCGCACACCTTGTTGTACCTCCTAATCCTGCTCCACTGTACGTAGGCGCACTGCCCCAAGATATGCGAACACGATTCCAACCTGGCCTGGCAGCGCCTGCAGGCTGCCCCTGACTTGTCCTGTCCCCGCACCAGGAACTCCCTGGTGGGGTACACCCCCGCCCTCAGCGACAGTCCCGCAATCCAATGTCTTTGCCTAAACCCGACAGCTCCGGGGTCAGCAAGTACAATTAATATTGTACGTTTAATGCGTGGTTTCACAATGTTGGACGCCAGCTGTGCTAACACATGCGTTGATTCACAGCGGATTCAGTGCGTCTTAAGTTTAAATCTGGTTATCTCAGAGGATTGGGAAACGCATGTGTGGGTTTCACCACGGGGTCTGGTTTTACAATGTTCAGGTCAGAGGGTCTACTCAGCCTGTCTGCATGCAGGCCCGTGGTGCTCTGTCTCTTGGGAGAGGGGCTGCATGGGCTCCCCTGGTTCTGGAGGCTTGTGGGGAACCTGACCTGCTGGTCAGCTGGTTCTGGAGGCATGTGGGGAACCAGATCTGCCGACTACTGTCCCCTGATGTCGACACCTGTCCCTAGGGTGAGGGGCTGCATGGGCTGCACTGGTTCTGGAGGCCTGCTCCATCCAGGGGTCAGCATCCATCCAGGGGCCCCATCCATCCAGGCGGCACCATCCAGGGGTTACCATCCATCCAGGGGTCAGCATCCATCCAGGGGCCCCATCCATCCCGGCGGCTTCCTTTATTATTCCTATTTTGGACATTTAGTCCCTATGGTTTAATGTGGTTTAATGTCCCTTGGTTAACGCTGCTGGGTGGTGGTGCAACTGTTAAAGGGGCCACACGTA